TAAGGTTAAAAAGAAAAACCTTTTCTTTCTAAATCTTCTCTCGTTTGTGATGCAATGTAACTCCAACAATTCTGTTTATGTAGGAAATAATTCTTTTTTCATTTAGTTGTATTTCTTACTTGTGGCCATTTTTTTGAATATTTAATAGATACTCCGTACTAAGTTTGGTATGCTGGCATTTGTTAACTTTGACTTTTAGTTTATATTATATATTGATTGACTAAACGTTCAACTTTCACCATATGATATGCAATTTCTTTTTTCGTATTATCCATCCATCCCAATTCATGTCTCTCATATGTACAGTTGTGCACTGTTCTGGAAGTCAATTTAACTAAATTTGTACTAAAAATTTTGATCTTTGAAATGAAAATTAGACATTATGAAACTATAGGAAAAATACTCTTCTAAAATTTCAAATTTTCATAATTGTTAAAAATTATTCCCTCCGTCCCATTTTATGTGTCTGGTTCTGTTAACGAGGTTTGACTGAAGTTATTTTTAATCCAATTTTTCATAATATCAAGTTAAATATTAGTATACAAAAGTTATACATTTAGAAACTACACTAAAAGTACTATTAAACACAAAAAAATAAATTTAAGAATAAAGTAAAAAAATACTAAAGAAATAAACAAAGAAGAAAGAGTTGGTTTGACCAATGAATAGTAAGTAGGACAGATAAAATGGGACAGAGGGGGAGTATGTATTAAAAACTTAGTCAAAACTAGATTGCACTAACCCTTGGGGTAGATAGAATGGGTCCAGGGGTTTAGTTCTTTCCTATGACTCAAGACTTGACATCTATCTGTGTGGTTTTCATATAGATGCATATACAATACAAGACATCATGGGTGACTGGAATTGATTTTCCACTCTCTTCCCATCATTTGAGCTGAAAGGAGTTGGAATTAACTTTCCACATTTATTAATGCATTTTCTGTCAGGTCAAGGATGCATTTTTTTTTTGTCCACATGCTTTTTATTTTTATTTTTCCTTTCTTTATACTGATCTTAGGACCCAGATTTAAAACAATTATAACTCTGTCAAGATATTGTTCTTCTAATTGTCATGGGTGGTGTAGACTTTTCTTCAATTAATTGTAGTTTGAAATCCTTGTCAGTTGGTTCATTGTGTGATGGTTTGATGAGGTTAGGTTTCCTTCTATTTTGCAGTTAGTGGCCCAGGTTTAAGCTTGAAATATTATATTTGATGAGATTACATTTTCCTTCTCCTATTTTGGTGTTAGTGGTTGAGGTTTAAGTTACTCAGCTTTCTTGTCCTTAGATTGCTTACCTATGCATTCTTGTAGTTTTTAGCTTTTCAACTTTATCTCATTTAGATTTTTCTGCAGGTTGCTTCTTTCATGCATTACCAAGAGAATATGAATGTTCTTGTTGAACCCGAGGTGCATGATATTTTTGCAAGAATCCCAGGATTTGGGTTTGTTCAGACCTTCTATAGTCAGGATACCAGGTGGGCTGATCATTCTTGAACTGTAAGAGCATGTCTTCGTCTCCTGTATTCTAAAGATTTATTGATGTCATTTAAATGCTAAATTAGTCTATGAGGTACGGTCAACTTGGCTGATCACTAATGACTAATGTCTCTAATGTAGTGGTCTCCATGAGAGAGTTGATCTTGTTGCCTGCTTAGGAGGAGACGGGGTTATACTTCATGCATCAAATATATTTCGAGGTGCTGTTCCACCTGTTGTCTCGTTTAGTCTAGGATCACTTGGATTTCTCACTTCTCACAGGGTACGCCTTTGACAGGAATACTGATCCCTATTTTCCAATTATGCATGAGATCCCTCACTGTACTTGTCTAACTGGTGATGCCATGCAGTTTGATGATTATAAAAAGGACCTGAGACATATCATCCATGGGAATAATACTTCGGATGGAGTCTATATTACTCTTAGAATGCGACTTCGCTGTGAGATTTTCAGAAATGGGAAAGCAATGCCTGGGAAGGTGTTTGATGTCCTAAATGAAGTCGTGGTTGATCGAGGCTCTAACCCATACCTCTCCAAAATAGAGTGCTATGAACATGATCGCCTCATAACAAAGGTCTGTTCTATGTGTGACCTTCTACATTTCCCCTTTGTTATAATATAATATTAGGCCAAGGTCACTTAACTGGGCTATAATGTAATATAGACCAAACTACACACAGGCTCTGATACCATATTATAATCTAAGATAGATTGAATCCAATCAATTAGCTAGTCTAACACATTACTTTATAAACCCATATGTTCTACCTTATTTTTTCAACATGGGACTCTTAACACCCTTGATGGAAGAGAAATGAGAGAGTGAATTCTAAAGTCTTCTGTTCCACTGTGTGTTTTTAGTCTGAATTGCTTCACTATTGATGTGATGACAAAATCGACCTTTGACAGATACACGAGGAATACTTCATGTCGTTATTTTATAACTATCGGAGGAATTGCTTTTTGTCTTCTCATCTCTTACGGTATCTGCTGTTATTTGACAGGTGCAAGGTGATGGAGTGATCATTGCCACTCCGACTGGAAGTACAGCTTACTCCACAGCTGCCGGGGGTTCCATGGTAAGCCATTAAATCGAAAGACTTGATATGTTTACATTATATATACATACAACCATTAGCCATGACAAGGACATTTCTCCAATGCAGGTCCATCCCAACGTTCCATGCATGCTCTTCACGCCAATTTGCCCACACTCTCTCTCGTTCAGGCCGGTTATACTTCCAGATTCTGCAAAGCTGGAACTAAAGGTTAGTGCCATACCATATTCTTCCGATACCTGTGAAACCAAAATCTCTACTTTCAACGCTTAATCTTAACAAGTTGCATCTGGTTTGAACAGATCCCGGTGGATGCACGCAGTAACGCTTGGGTCTCATTCGATGGGAAGAGAAGGCAACAACTTTCTCGAGGCGATTCTGTACGGATATGTATGAGCCAGCATCCACTCCCAACAGTGAACAAGTCTGACCAAACAGGTGATTGGTTTCACAGCTTAATTCGTTGCTTAAATTGGAACGAGAGGCTGGACCAGAAAGCCCTCTGAAATTCCCCTACCACTCCTTTCTCTGTAAATTTATTACTGTACAGTCAAAATAATTACATAACATTGTAAAGGTTTAAAAAAAAAACATAACTGATTAATCTTGTTACGCTTCTCTGTAACATCAACACTTATTATTGTTGTTATTATCATACAAAATTGAAGTATTTATCAACTTAAATAGGTCATATATACTTTTAACAACATGTTTGATTCCAAAGATAGGTTGGGAATTGAATAATATTCCTGACATATTTCATAATTTTCATTGTTTGGCTTGACGTTTTATTATTCGAAATAGCATTCCTAAGAAGGGGAATAGTTATTTTCAAGGGCCATTGTATTAATTATTCCCAGAGTTCTTGGCCATAACTTTTTTATTATAATACCAAAAATATTTTTTTACATCACTAAATTTGTCTACATTGTCATGGTAATGTAAACTACTAATAAAAGTTTGGTATATTAAAGGTTCATTTATAATGTACTAAATGTTTATTTTTAGGAATAAACTTTCGGTACCCTTAAAATGAATCTTCAATATATTAAAAATGAGCCATAGTTGATCAAAGTCAATATAAATTTTGTTTTTGTTTTTAATTTTTTTAAAAATACCCGGTAAATATACATTTTTTGTTAAACTTTTGAAGAAAACATTCTCCATATATATATATATATATATATATATATATATATATATATATTTTATTATAAGGAAGGGAGATATCCTACATATACACACTACTTGTCTCAATTGAGGTTTGAACCTTTCACGTCCCACTTAGGGGAGCAACCCGATACTAGTGGACCACAAGCCGCCAGTCAACATTCTTCATATATAAAACCATGTTCAAACACCCTATAGTTGCCAATTAATATGTAAATTAGGATAATTGAATTATTTGTAAGATTAGATACTACAATCGGATATAATTTACACATGATATAAATGTTTAAATTAAATTACAAAGTTTTAAAGGTTTTTATATAATTATTAGCATAAATGTTTGAATTTTTCATTTTGGTTTATTGGTAGAAAAAACTCACACTTTTTGCTTATAATTGCACATGTTTAAACTTAATGATTCAATTATCAATTACATAAATTTAATAAGTTTAGTTATTTATTTAAATTATTTTCACATACCGATCTAACTCACGTATAATATGCAAGAAATTTTTTATAAAATTCGTTTATTTTATACTAAATAGTACGGAGTATTATAAAAGAGGTTGATTTTCCATTTCCTTGACTTCAACTTTTTTATATTATATTTTGGGTTTTATAAAGTCTGACTTCACACTAATAAAATAATTATGGTTCAATGAATCAACATCAAAGAGAACGACTTCCAGTCTCTGACTCATCTGTTTGCTAAGCAGAGAAAGTATTATTTTTCTTTGTCAAATCCAACCTAAATAATGCCCATTTAAAATTCTTGATGAATAGTTCCTTAGTCTTCATCCCTCACTATTTTAATGCATTTCAAGGACAAAAAGAATGTCCTGTCCACCCTCACTTCTCTCAGGATATCACATGTCGCATGCTAAATAATTCATGCATATTAAAAGCTAGAGGAAACAAGAAAATATTACAAAAAGGGGACAATACAGCCAAATTGGTCAGACTATTGATTTGGTAACCGCAAGATTACAAGAGTTTATTGGTTTTCTTGAGCTGGTCAGCTATGAGTAATATAGGCTGATTTATTTCTTACCTAATATACACTCTTATGTAGTGGTTACAGCTTACAAGTTTCCATCGTCACTCAAAAATAGAAAGTATTACATCTTTGGGTTTCTATTTGTTTGGCTGATTCAAGAATTGAATGCACTGAAGATTGTGTATTGGGGGAAAATTTTGTGTAAAAGTCAGGCCTCTGGAAGAGGAAATTGCAGAAATGTTAGAGAAAGAAGAAGGTGATAGATATAAAGCATTAGAAGAACACATACATTTCTTTAACTAAAATCTGGGAAGAAAAAGATAAGAACAAACACAACCCCATGCACTTCTGTATGTATAGTTGAAGTACTACAAGCCAAGAACAGCAAGTTTGCTCTCTTGGAACATCTTTAATTTATAAGTAACCCCAATTCACACCCCATGAAGAAATCCATTACAGCAAGTACAAAAAAGAAAAAAGAAAAAAAAGATGCAGTGGTGTTGTTTCTCCTGGATCGATCACATAGCTCTAACAGCTTGGAACCTTGGTTCTTTAGGAAGGAACTTCTGAAGCGTGTAAACCGACATGTAATCCCCGAACACGAAAGTGGGATAGCCTTGTTCGGCTTCATTATTCTTCTCGTCTTTCTCCACAAGTTGTGGCGCAGGGGAGATTGTGGCTTTAAGAGAAGGGTTATAGAAGGAAGCAATGGAGCTCCTATTCCCATCCGGTTTAGCCATAACCCTGTGCCAAACACTCTTGTACCTCCCATTGCTTAGCACCTCAATCTGGTCCCCTGTGTTGATGACAATGGCATTGGGAACAGGCTGCACATCCACCCATTTCCCATCTTTAAGGATTTGCAGGCCATCCACTTGGTCATCTTGGAAGAGTAGGATCACACCCCCAGCATCAGTGTGGGCTCGGAGGCCGTTCACCCTTTCTGGGTGAGGGCAGGGGGGATAATGGCTCACTTTGGTGCCAAAGAAAGCACCATCCTCCTCTCCTCCATTGAAGGCCTTTTTAATGTATCCTTGTGGTAAGCCCAGGTTTTCATCCATTACTTCCATTACTCTCTCTGCCAGCTTCTTCAGCTCGCTTCGATATTCCTTCATTGTTTCCCTGTAATGTCAGATTCCAATCAACACTCATATCACCAAACACCAGTACTAGTAATCTTTTGGTTTGATTGCTTACTTGAATTGTTGGTTGTTAGATGGCCATTCTTGATGATCTGTGAGAAGAAAGACATCCTCCCAATCTACACTCTCCAACTTCTCACTGTCATCATCACCCTTCTTCTCCAGCTCCTTCAACAACTCCACTGGTTTTGAGCTCTTGAAAGCCTCCTCTCTCTCGAGCTCAAAGCACTCGGAGCTCACCTTCTTCACCCTGCCCAGGAGCTCCTCGGGAATCCCATGATTCACCAGCTGCAGTGATGCCCATGGAAATATAATTAATATAATGCACTTGAGTACTTACACTCGATCAACAAAATGAATGGAATGGAATGAAAGACTCATAAAAGTATTAATTAATTACCTGAAAGAAACCCCATTCCTCACAGCAAATGGCAATCTGAGCCAGAGTTTTGGCTCTTTCCTCACCATTCAGCTTTGAGAAATCAATCACTGGAATAGCCATTGCAGCTTGCTTTAATTTCACCAACAATAAACACACAAACTGATGGTTTTTTTTTTTTTCTTTTTTTTTTTGAAATAAAATGCTTTCTGTTTTTGGGCTGGTACTGATGTTGGACTGAAGAAAAGTTTTGGGTGGTATTTATAGGCAACCATTCCCTTCAATCCTGGATGTCAACTTCCCCCCAGTTCCCATCTCCCTCAAAACTAAAGCAAATTTTTCGAGAAAATGCGAAATCCCTCACTTTGACTGATAGAATAGTGGAAGGGTAAATCTTGAAGTGTCAGGACTAACTTGGTGTTTACAATAAGTCTACCATATTGGGTCATTGCGACGGTTAGATTTTGATCTTGTGTTCTTAGCTTACTCATAATCTATCACTTAAGTACCAACTGAATTGTCGAAGTCAAATAAACTGAAGCAATTTTGCAGTTAAAGTATGGGATAGTGGACGGTGACAAAAACTCATTAAATATTAATATGTTAATCTGGAAATTGTAAAAGGTCAATGCCGTTGGTAGATCGATGTTGCGCTGCTGCTAACCCACGACATAAGCATTCTCCTGCGCTTGGAAACTAATACTTTCAATTCACATCATAAAATGTAAAAGTAAAAACTGTAACACAAGTTTCAAATAAGGAATTATAACTCAAAAAGCAATCTTTTTTTTTTTTTTAATGTTTACCAGCGAAAAATTCCATTATACCCACTTGGATAGATCATGCTCACTAATAATGGACAACTTTACATCCTCACTCCACCTATCTTATTGTATTTAATTCGTGATATGATTATAATATCGTATTGATATACATTTTTTTAATAGACACAAACTAGCTAGATCTTAAAATTATACACTTCAAGTGTGTGCAATTCCAAAATAGTGTCATATTTATCATGATTGTGTCGTTTCTTATAGGTCATCATTCAATTCATCTTCATACAAAGGAAGAGTGAAGTGGAGGAAAAGATCTATCTAGTTTTATTTCTTATATTCACACAACTCGAGCATAAAACCTAGATTCTTAAACAAAATCTAGTTCTTTACTTTGTACTTATACTACAAACCTTACTTTGGACAGAGACTTGAAGAGTCGAACCTAACATTCTACTATCGAATTGAAACGTGACATTAACTGTTACACAAATATAAAGAAATAAAATTGCACATTCATTATTAATTATAAGTTTTGTCATAGCAATATGTAATTCAATATTGACAATGGGTATCAAAGCAAATCATCACTTGCCGGCCTCTCCATTAAAACACGTAAGAGGAGTTTTATTTCTTACGAATATACTATACCTATAATCTTCAAAAGAGAAAAAGACTTTTTTTTTTTTTTTTTTTTTTGATTGGGTATAACTTATATTTCCAAAAATAGTGTGAAAATCATTGGCCGACGAACAGCATTTGGAAGTTGACTACTGGAAAAATTAAAGAAGTGGTGTTGACTTTGTGAATGCATGACATGATTGTGAATCACCCACCATAGCATTATTAGAGTAAATTAAAGAAAAAACGTAACGCCACTAATTTGCAGGCACAGTTTGTGGGCTAAGGAAGATGACCACTCATTAAACAATCCTATCCCCATCCATTTTTTAACTATTAATTACTTCGTCAACTAACCATCTTGAACTCCATCGATCTACTTATTTTATTATTATTGGTTTTTGAGTTAGTTATATATGCATTTAATTTAATTTGTTTAACAGGAAATATGATCTGGCATGGCAGCTCCCATTTGGAGATGTACACTTGGCTAATCTTGGACCTTCCATGCCTCATTATATTCTGATTGTCTCTACATTAGGGTTCAATATTAATGGAGACAGGTAATCTTGACCGTGTGATCAACAACATTGATTTCGACTCCTAGCCCCTCCTTCATTGTACTTGTTCTTGTGCCTTTCAACCAGGTGTCCTCCCAGTAACATGTATGTGCCCTCCCCATTTGTTCCCCAATAAATTAGGTTAATTAGGGTTTTTTCTCATCTTCAATTACACTCTTATTTTTGTAGCGCTTTTCATTAATTATGTCAAAATATATAACTAGTTAGCAGTGAAGTTAGTGCCATACGTAGCGAACTTGTGACATGGTTTGATACTAATTATCAAATCAAGTGATAAGAATAAGTCTTAAGATTTCTCTAGTTTATATATTTGTTATGTATTCGCTGTCATGTACGTTTGTGTATTCTCTGCAGTATATGTAGTCTCTTATTACCTTCAATATGATATTAAGAGTCTGATCGACTGGGTAATTTTTTTTTTCTTCTTCCTCATCTTTGTAGTTGTTCTCTTCTTCAATAACATCAAGTGCTTACTATCCGACCAAAAGTTATAGTTTGAACACTTGAGATTAAAAGTACAACAAATAAAAGTTGAGAACCATCCAACTTTGTATAACCAATGAACCAAAAGTGAAAAAACTTCTTGTGTTAATAAAAATCTCACATACACACATTATTGAACACGTTATATTATTCATTATTAATAATTTCATAATAAAATGATATGTAGATTTGACGTAATTTAACTAGCTAGATAGCTTAGTCAAAACTTAGATGAGCATGCATGTATGTTACCATAAAACTTGTAGTTTTGCATGTGAGCAAGCTAGATAAGGAGGTCAACGGCATTTGACCAAGAAAACTATGAACTCCATGCATGCATCTTGCACCTAATGAAATGAGCATTTAAGGAAAGAAAAAGAAGATACACATACATAAAAACCGATTTATTATTTCCTGATTCCAAATAATATTCTTTCTAAATACTGTATTACTTAATTAATTTTATAGCTTCTCTTTCTCGAGATTTAAACGTGTATAGTTTGCCGTATAGTTTTTCTACAGTGAATGTACCCAACTAATTATTTGAATTTAAAATAATAAATCTAGTTGTTGGCAGCAATAATCATTATATATATTTTTTCTATCCCGTGAAGGAAAAGTTGTTGTATAATTTAATTATAATTGTATAAGCAGTTATTATGTGGTGTTTGGTTGGTTAATTAACACTTAAACGGCAAAGGTATATACCGTCTGGCCGGCCGAGTTAGTTGGCGTTGTGGCTTGTCATGTTCGTACGTGATCGTGATTGGGATAATTACGATCGCTACTAAGTTTTAATGGAGCAAAAAATAAAAAATAAAATATAAAATTGAAGCACTCCCCAAATAAGGTCTATTGGTTAAAAAAAAAAAAGTAAAAAAAAAAACCTTAATTTCAAATTAATTGAAATTTAATGTGGATATATCTTATAGTTTATTTGTAACTTAAAATAAGTTATAAAATCTAAAATAAGTTTTACGAAAAAAAGGCTACATGTTAAGAAAGTTAGACCGATAAAGTAGTTTTTTTTTTTTTTTTTTTTTAGTGACAAGCGAAACCGGCAATCACTTATCACCCCACGATGGTCCTATGTTATAGCTAGCCCACAAATCATACAAGAAAGGTAAATCATGATTGCAAATTATGCTGTGCAACCGTGTGCACCATGCATGGTGTACACGGTTGCAAAACGACACTGTTTAATATGATGGAGTAACGGCGCCATTAGTGGCACCGTTTAACTCCACCAATCATTTTTTTTTTTTTTACTAAAACTCCAATCGACGTGTAATTATGAATATATAGTTATGCAATTCTGAATATATAGTTACGAAGTTATGGATATATAGTTATGAAGTTGTGGATATATAGTTATGAAGTTATGGACATATAATTTTGAAATTATGGATATAGTTCTTTGTGAACAAGCATTTTAAGAATTCTGAATATGGAGTTATATAATTATAAATGTCTAGTTGTGAAATTATGAATATATGGATATGAAATTATGAATGTGTAGTTATTATTTCTGAATGTACTATTGTCAAATTATGAATATATAGTCATGTAATTCGATCTGGATATATAGTTATGAATTTGTGGATATATAGGTATGAATTTGTGGATATATAGTTATGAATTTATGGATACATCCTACTGTTTGAATAAGAAAGGAAAGCGTCTAACGCCGTTAACTACAATTTGAACGGTATTTTTTTTTTTAATGAAACAATGTCGTTTTGCAACCGTGTGCACCATGCATGGTGCACACGGTTGCACAGCATAACGATTGCAGAGTTGTTATACCATGGACTATGGCCCACCTTGCAAGGTAGACCCGGGTCCATAAAATAATTTTATGGGTAAATCATACTAAGAAGATCTTATACTACCAGCTCAAGTAATCAAGAGAGTGTTGACAAGAATTAAGTTCGTGACCTGCTAGGTATATGAGAATCATTATTAACCAATGGAGTAATAAAGTAGCATTATTTTTTGGGTGACGAGGAAACCTCACAGTTACTATCCGAGAATGTACATTAGATAACCATGTCTTATAATCTTAGTTAGTAAATGACCATAATGAGGTAAACTAATTTAGGTTGTCCATAATTGATCGGTCAAATCAAGAAGATTAATGTGGAAGTATAAAGTAGCATTATTAATTGTTAATATTGTATGGTGCAAACAGCATATATATGTGGAGCAGAAACATTTGGTAGAAATATCAATTACACCCCGGCCATCTATGCTTCAACAAGATAATATCTTTATATTTATTTATTTATTATATATGTTGTAAAGGACAACATAATCTAAAACAAATCGTTGTCATTTTCATCATACCAACAAAAATCCACTTGTATCAAATAGACGTCCATTATTGCCAAATATTATTTCCCCCCAGGATCAGTAAATTATGCATAATATTGCATATCATAATTCATACATATATTCTTTAAAAAAATAAAAAGCTCTCTATCATTGGATATGATTCGATCACAATTCACAACTAAACTTATAAGAAGTATATTTAATTTAATTTAATTTATCATGGACTATATTCTTATTTTTCATCATATCATATATTTGATCACTAAATAAATAATAGATCAATTATTGTATAACTGCTACTAGCTAGGCGGCTTGGCATGCAAATATATGTCTGGTATGGCTTTGGCAGTATTGTTTTTATATTTATATTTTTTTCTTGGTACAACAAAAACTTATATGGGTGAAATTATCGCAATTTAAGACTAAATTAAACCGATTATCAATAAAGAATTTTTAAGAAAATTTACAAATTAACAGTAATACTGAAGAAATTGGTCTCAATTCAAAGAACAATATAATTGTCCCTTTAACCTCATTTGTGTTGGGCAATTAGTTAGTTAGGTTAGTTACAAAAAGTTGTATAATGTAAAAATTTAGGTAGCTAGACTAAAGAGAGTGAATTATATTGTTGGAGATAATTCATGCATCAAACATGCCGATTGAGTCTCTTGCATGAAATGTTGATCGAATTGAAGACTATATATAATATAATGTTGATGTTTGAGGGTGTCTTTCAAAATAGGGAATGTGATGATATGACGCAACAGCGAGCAGCCGAGCATTGCATGCATTATATTGTTCAATATAATGTTCATCCAACGACATATATAACCGACACCGGAGCGTAGATGAGATGGCCGGTTACTACGTAAAATGGATAGGGCGGTTAGCTTACATTGGAAGCATGCAGGCCGGAAAAAAACAAATTAAATATGAGAGGTGGGAGGTTATTAGCTAGGTTGAATTGCAAGGCACATGTTGCTGACTAAGGCTGTTCCTGTCATCAAGGCACACCCATATGCAATGGGGGCTCACTATCATTAACTGGTCGATCTACAGTGCATGCATGTAAATACACTTGCTTTATATATATATATATATATATATATATATATATATATATATATATATAGGGAAGGGATCGTGCATTTGTTGCTTCCCGTGCGGATGTGCGGTGGATTAATGTGCGTGAGGTTTATACTCAATGTGCCTGAGATTTGTACTTAATGTGCGTCATGTTAATATGCGTGAGTTTTGTACTTAATGTGCCTGAGTATTGTGTTTAATGTGCGTGAGATTTGTGCTTAATGTGCGTGAGTATTTCAGAATTATGAGCTCAGAATGAAGCAGAACAGAAACTCACGCACATTAACGCCCAAGCTTCTTATTACTTCTTCCTTCAATTTGGTCATGGATTCTGGATTATCAGCTACCTTCAATGCAGTTGAATGTTTATATAAATGACGCACGCACAGTAAAATTTGCACAGCAGCTAAGTGTGGATTTCTGTTGTACTATTCCCATAATTCTTAACCACCATAGCTCGCCTTCGCATCATCATCAACAGGGTGGGGCAAATGGCTACTGGGGATGGGGAAGAAACTGACATCAATATTTTCTGCTGCATTTTACACATTCACGCACATTAAGTACAAATCTCAGGCACATTAAGCACAACACTCACGCACATTGAGTATAAATCTCACGCACATTAATCCACCGCACATCCGCACGGGAACCTTTCAGTCTTTCACTATATATATATATATATATATATATATATATATATATATATATATATATATATATATATATATATATATATGTGTGTGTGTGTGTGTGTGGAATTTCCGACCACCTGAAAGTGATATTAAATCAAGTCGAAAGCCTTGTTCCGATCACTTTTGGTATCCGGAAAAACCTTTGTTGCTATTTCCGACCACTTTTTGCTTTCAACTTGATTTAAAATCACTTTCAGGTGGTTGGAAATTCCATAATTTCCAGTAGTGTGTATATGTATATATATATATATATATATATATATATATATATATATATATATATATATATATATATATATGGAATTTCCGACCACCTGAAAGTGATCTTAAATCAAGTCGAAAGCCTTGTTCCAATCACTTTTGATATCCGAAAAAACCTTTGTTGCTATTTCCGACCACTTTTTGCTTTCAACTTGATTTAAAATCACTTTCAGGTGGTCGGAAATTCCATAATTTCCAGTAGTGTGTGTATATATATATATATATATATATATATATATAGTATTTCCAGTGCGGCTATGCGGTCACGCACCACTAAGTGTGGTGCATTTTTTTCGTGTAGTTGTGCATTTCATTCTAGTGCATTTTCAAATACTGCGTGGACATTTATCCATACCTAATGGTACAATTTTCACCGACCGCACGGGAAGCCATGTCCTCATTTGAATCTCTGTGTGTGTACACACACACACACACAGGATCAAATGAGAACTACGACTCTCGTGTGAACTCCACAATTAGGTATGCATAATCATATTACGAAAATATCATCGCATTTTTTTTAGAAACAAACATCACAAGATACGCAATAGGTAGTTCACAATTCTCACATGAAGGATAATTCTCATTTGATCTCAATCATATATATACATTGCATTTTTTATATTATTTGTGAGATTTATGATGTCTTACAACATTTTGTAATATTTTTTTTTTTTTTTTACTTTTGAATATTAATTGTGAAATTTATAATGTGTTATGTGTGATAATAATTATTTAAATTGATTAATTAATTGATATAGAATATGTTTTGTAATTAATTATGAAAATGTTTTAATTTTTTATGAATTATTTACTTATATAGTCTAAAAATTTCAATTGTGTATCATCATATTCAAATTAATCTAGAAATTTATTCCAATCGTTTTATATAATTAATTATGTTTTATATTTTATTATAAATATTTGTATCAAGTTTTTAAACAACTAATTTACCAAACACTTTTCTACAATCAGCTAATGTTATCAACTAGTTATACCATCTAATTAACCTAATCAGTTAATAGTTAACAATCATTTACCAAACAGGCCATTATAAGCAATTAATTGCTTCGGATACTTAATTATGTTAATTAATTAAAGCTGATAATGGTGGCTTCGAGATCACAGAACAATAAAGCTGTGGCGAATCCCCATCTAATCTAATAGTAAAAGTAATGACCAGAGTTCAAAATCCAATCTATGAAAGGTTTTGAAAAATTTTAAAATTATATATTAAAAAAAAAAAAAAACAGAGTCATCAACCGTTTGTAGTTAAATAACTAACAGCATGTGTATATTAATTACGATTACGTATGAATTAAGTTGAACAAGTATCAATTCAACGCCTACTAATATATTGGAAAATTGTTATTTTAAACCAAAATTTTTAATTTTTAATTTTTAGTCTTTGATGTTACTTTCTTGTCTCCAAAAAAATAAATAAATAAATAAATCATAATTAAAGTATTTAATCCACCTTAATTTTTATTTGGTATGTAATAAATTATTTAGACTTTTTTAAAAAATTGAAATACTTTTCATTTTCAAAGTTATAAATATATAACGATTGAGCCTCTAGAGGCGTTGTTGACTCTTTGAGTCTTTATGCTTCATTAGGTTGAGATAGTATGTTTGAACAGATACTACAATGTAATGGAGTCATTAGCATTCAAAAAATGTATATAACGATTGTTAGTTTATTGGTGGAAAAAGTGTAAAGCATTTGTGCACAATTAGTCAATTATTATATCTAAATATTTAAATTTTGAAAATAAAATGACACTTTTGACCTTAAATTATCCTCCAATCAACATCAATATCCACATTTACCTCCTTAATTATTACCAAAGTTACTAGTTTTACCAGACTCTTACAAAGCTGTTAAATATCGAGGATGCAATAATCGAAAGTCCCATGATAATCAAAGAGAGAAAACAACTTAAAATTACATAGAAGTATTTTAAACTATAGGGAAAATGGTCAAATAAACTCTCGAATTTTATCTAAAAAATCAATTAGACCTCTAAACTTTTTAAATTAACAATTAAACCCATCAATATTGTATTTTGGTGCAACAAAATCCAAAAAACAACTAGTGACATCCAAAATCACATGTCACTAGGATTCCAGTCAACATTCTGACCCACTCCGACAATACTTCTGGCAAAAAAGTCTCCATAGTCACTGGTGAATCAACATAAGAGAAGGCAACCCAAGGATTGCCTTCTCCTCTATTGATTCACTAGTGACCGTTGAGCGCTTTATTGTTAGAAATATCAATGGAATTGATCGGAACCTTAGTGACATGTTATAACATGTCACTAACCAGTTTTTGAACTTCATTGCACCAATATACAATGTTGATGAATTTAATTATTACTTTAAAAAATTTAGGAAACTAATTAACTTCTTGAGAGCTTAATTGATTATTTTCCCTAAATTATAAAATTGTAGATTACTTGGTCAATATATTTAGTAATTCTATTAAAAGTTGCGTAAAATCAACCACTTCAATTATAATTGTAGATTTAGATTTTTTTAGAGTTTAATTTGAAATATTTTAGTTGTACAAAGAATGCATTTAGTACTATTTTTCTTTTAAAAAAAATAATGTTATGGTGCAACTTTTTAAATAATATAATTTGTACACCAACTAATCACTGCAGGGTTGGGTTGAGTCAGGTTGAATTTTTCTAGTATCACATATTATAATTGTTACAATATACAAATGTTTGTTTGATATCATTATTATTATCCATAACTAGCTAAGTGAAAATAATTAGTACAAGATATTATTTTGATATAAAATAAATTGGCAAAAAAGCAGAAATGCTTGAGTTTTTTCATCATTAGTAAATCATTTGAACCACTATAAAATCTGTGGTAGCAAGGCGTCATAGCAGAGCAGCTACCTTGATACATCACAAGGGAAAATGAGCACCTTACCTTACCTAACCGCTGTTTGAAGTTGTCTTTGCAACAACTTGTGGATTATAATTCATGACTGAGACTCGCGGTTTGTACTGCTAGACTTGAACAACACGATTCTGTCAAACAATGGGCCGAGAAGGGGAAGGGGAAGTGATACGCCCTGCCCTGCCCCGCCCCTGGCGTTTCTGAATTAGGAACGTATCGGGAAGACTGAATAGAACCCTCAAACTCAAAAGCATCTGAAACGTAAACCTCCCAATATCCTCCTGCCAATAAAAGAAAAGATAGTAGCACACGCTAAAGAAACCAATCCACAATAAAATAGTGCAACCAGCATATTATATTTATGGCAAGTTAGAAATGGGCGGTGTCCAAGTACCAGAGGGGAATGGGAATGGGAATAGGAATGGTATAGTGTATTTCAGGTCAGGGATACCTGTGGTTGAGCAGTAGGCATAGGTATGTAGGGATGAAAACCCTCCCTATGAATACAATTCTTGAGATTCCATGGGGGATGACCAGTACCGCAAGAGCGATTCAACAGTTAACCTCCTGGTTGCACTGAGCATAGAGATGAAAAAGCGGCAACCATCAATCTTGTATTCTTCAAGTGGATCCCTCAGCCCAAAAGTCCTCACATTCACCTGTAACAAACCAACAATACTCGGGGGTGGGTAATTACTAATTAGGGACCAATTTCAGTATTTCACTTTATCCTTGAATCAATAAATGAAAGATAGATATGTAACATACTGCTGAACTAAGCCTGTTCATATTTACGAGATGATCTCTCCAAAAGCTATCTAAAGTCTTCAGAAGTACTGCCCTCTGCAATATGTAGAAGAAATACAATTTTCATTAGAGTAGAGACACCAACCATGACTGCACAAGATTGAATGAAGCATAACATTTAACCGTGAGTTAAACAAGGATGCAGATATGAGAGTCATGGAAAGGAGAGCACACTGTAATTTATTCTCGCAACTAAGCACTTGATGGAAATCCCTTATTAGCGCAAAACACAAGTAGACAAATACTTACATCCAAGCGCACACACATGTATATAGATTGTATACCCTAATTATTTGGACGGACTAGTTCCATTATGACTGATGGCTTCCATCAGTTGCAAGTTGCAACTTGTGGTACCGCCCACATATCACAAGTACCAAATCAATCAGCAGACTAAGTGAAAAGATGCAAAATTGCACCCATTGTGTGACTAGTGTACTTTTTAGGGTACGCCACATCCTACATTGGTTGTATTTGCAACACTAAAACCTTGCCAGGTCCAAGGAGTCGTACACAGGCCTGGGTATTTCAAGCATGGAGTCCAACTTCAGTCTAATCAGCAAGATGAGGAAAGAACGCTACCTCTATTCTCTTAACGTATTCAGAATCATAACAAGATTCTTGTATCACATCCAAATACGAGGCAATCAGAAAGTCTCCAAGGTACTTGCGAAGGAAATTAACCGTCACTCTGTACATCCCATCTCTAACATAGAATAAAATGGAAGCATTATCCAAAAAATCACATGTTTAAAACAAAAGAATTTGTGGTATAGCAAATTGCAATTGGACTCACTTGGTTGAATCATCGGCGCATATGGCTAGCCACCGTTTCAACGAAGCGGTTTTGCCACGAATACCTCTAAAAGGATTTTGTTTTCCAGGCAAGTTTGGGATACAAAAGTCATCAATAGTTACAGAACCCATATCGTGGAGCTGAAGAAGTGAATCCAGCAACAATTCCTCAGTGATCTCCAAGAATGAATCTAGACGTATTCCCGTTTCTCATGATTTATAACTTTGGCAGAAACTCATTACCAACAAATTGAAAAATTCATTCTTACCATTTAATGTTTTTCCAGCAAATCCTCTGAAGTCTCTCAAGAGCTTACCCAAAAACCACTTGCTTGGATGCTATAACATGAAAGGAAGAAGGGGTGACTAAAGTGGGGGGAAAACAAAGGCCTAATTAACACAAAGCATTGTGAAGTAACATATGCCAAAGAAGAAATTTCAATACCTTCTGCGGATCTACATAATTAAAAATAATCTCATCTACCACACCCTGCATGTACCTATATTAATTCATTAGCATTGTAGGAAAGAGAATAGCTGTCAATACATTACTCTGAAACTACATAACATAATGACATATATATATAGATTAATGATCAAATGAGCACCCCTCCTCCCGTGAGAACCTGCGAACCAATATGAATGCATACAATCGTCTACATGAATGCACACAAACTATTCTAGGGTAGATTGTGTGCATTGTGCACTGGAATATGAGATTGTGTTCATTTATGTAGAGGCTTGTGTGCGTTTATGTACAAGTTCTCAGGTTCTCCTGGGAGGAGGGGTTCTCATTGGAACATCAGTATATATATATATCATATGTGTTACTCCATAGAGATCAGAGAGAGCACAAAATCATCCCACTAAGGCATTTAAAATGAAAACTTATTACAGACAAAAGGTCAAAAGCTACAGGTGAGATTATTCTAAGACTTGGCACTCACTGCAAAATGTGCTGCGAACAACTTTCAAAATCACCAGTTAATATTAATTGGCGAAGATTATAGACATGCTTCCTTTGCACCTGAAAAGACAATTAGCAGATTTGATAGTCAAGATTATGGCTGGTATGGAGGAAAACCTAATTAGGACTATAGATGCGTTACTTGAACAACTTAAGGAAAGAAATTAGGCAGATTTCTAAACCTTGTTTTAAGAAATAAATTTGTTTTTAAGAAGATAGTTGACCCAAAATTCAGAAAATAAGGCATTGACATGCCAGAAAATGGAAGTAGGGAACTCTGCTATCAAATGGATACCTCAAGAACTTCATCAAATTCCACAAGGCTCTTTCTTATGCCAAAGAAGTACTTCTCCACACTGATTTGGAGGGACAAAAGCTGAATGGTTCAAATTCATAACACAATTTGTTTAAGAAAAAAAAAAAAAAGTAAAGGAAAATAATCATAGAAATGAGTAAAAAATGTCAAATATAAAAAAGCTAAAGCAACATCAAGCTAAATGTACTTAGACTTCTTCAAGTACATAGACATTAAAAGACACATATTCAGTGACATATACATTACCTGTTTAAGAAGCGCATCACCTTCAATTGGAGTATCTTCATCATTAGTAATCCTAGATATAAGCTTCACTGCCCACTCAGTATCAAAGTTGAACTTTTGAAACATCTCATCCTGCAAGCTATAATTAATATGCGAGTTTTAAACACTTCATCCTACAAGCTATAATGCATATGGTAATATGAAAATCTAAATTTTCATGAAAGGGGGCAGGGTCAAGGAAAGAATCCAATTCCAATATTCATGAATTCACTGGAAATGGAAGTGAATATTCTAGCACATTTATTTATCCAAGAGTTTGAATAATCCACTCCATCCATAATGGTGAATATAGAGCCAAAGACCTTGTAGTCTAAAGGCATAAGCATATGATTCTAGGTAGGAGGTCTTACTGTCTTATTAGGTCCAATCCCCATTCCCCTTAGATATGCCATAAAAAGGTTAATATAAAACAGAAGATTGTTCCAAATGAACAAATAATTTGGGGCAAGAGGAAGTGAATAAAAATGCCTAGTAGCAATCCTGAAAAGCATTCACTGCATTTCATGAGGGAAATCTCCTTGGACCTTCCTGTACACTTAGATTCACTTCAAAAATATCTAACCTGCCTCATGACTACACTGAAAGGACATTAATAAAACTTTGTTGCAATATCATTTTTCCCTACATGTAATGGAAACAACAAAGGGAAGTCTATATTTACATTTCACCAAGCATGAGGAAGATGGATAGCACACATGTAGATAATGTTATCATTTAGCATCTCACCTTACCATAAATCTTGTCGATCCAGGATCTCCTTGCCTGCCTGCTCTTCCTCGAAGCTTTAGAAACAAATAAGAACATGGATTGCTATTATACATTGAAAAAAGAAACAAAGATAAAGGAAAATACAAAAGACATGATAAGAAAAGGAACACGAAGGTAGAAACACAGTTGAAATATCTTAGTCAATGAAGTGAAACATAGTTGAAAATATATTATATAGACTATTAGACTCCAAAGCCTGAGAATTTACAGAATGCTATCATTGGCTCATTGCTATGCATATCTATTTAAGATAACATCCTGCCTTCATTAGGAAGCCAGTGAAGTAACGCAAATTAGTTTGATTTATTGACCAGTGGAACTGCTGCTTGGAAATACGAGTATTACAAATTACTTTGCAAGGAATTGTAGACATGACACATTATATTTAATAATGACAGAACAAGTAAATTAGTAGAGATAAGTAACTTAAATACTCCTCGAATTTGAAATCTTCTTAACCATGTGGAGTATAAATTTGGAAACAAAGATAATACATGTGGAGTTTGAGATCTTCTTAACCAACTGAAGCAAGAATTCAAAAACACTGGTGCACATCTATTTCAAGTAGTCACTGCCTCCTGAAATTCTTGTAAATTAGTTCTAACCTGGTTATCAATTCTTCTGGATTCATGTAAAGATGTCCCAATCACATGCAGGCCCCCAAGCCTTTTCACTTCTAATCCCTCATTTAAACAGTGTGACTCACAATCCTTCAGAACTGATAAGAATGTAAGTGCCATAGATGGGCCAAGAGGGTACATTTCAGATTGATCATCAGCAAGCTTCTGCAGCTCTTCCAATTCCATGGATTGGCTCATTTCTATAGATTCAGAAATCATAGATTTTGCCTTTTCATATGGCCATTTCTTACCCTCATTTTTGCATACATACTTAGCTGTAAAGAAATTTAAATAACAAAACAACACATGTCAATGCATTCAACTAATATAATTTTTATTAAAAAAAATCAATTGATCTGAGACTGAACACTAACCCATCAGAGCTGCCTTAGCTAACAAAGCTAGAGATGATGGTCCAACTTTTATTTTGGATAAGACCTAAAAACAGATGGTAACTTTAGAGGCAAAGGAAAGAGGATTGTAACATTGAATGAGATAAGGAAGCAGGAAAAACCTTTTTTAAATTCAACTCTCCATCAATGTCAGTTTGAGGAACATCTTGTGTCAGAGATGAAATTAAGCTGTCCTCCAAAATTTCTTTTGCAAGCATCTTTTTAATAAAACACGCAACAGGTCAATCCAGTAGAAAGGCAAAAACAAAATTTGAACTTACTGAAATTGAATAAAGAAAAGAAGTACACTTGCCTTTGGATTTCCTCCTAGGATAATGTCAGTACCCCTTCCTGCCATATTAGTAGAGATAGTGATAGCATGCTTTCTCCCTGCTTGGGCAACAATTTCAGCCTCTCTAGCAGCATACTGCAAAATTCAATAATTATTAGATAACAGTCAGACTGAAAGAAGCAAAACAGTAAAATGCATTAAAATGTCTTGTAGTTTTCCAACTCTGCAGATAATCCCTCTTTACCAAATTAATCATCTATTTTACTTCCTATGGATCAGGTTGCCCAAACTCTGGATAAAAATTGTACCGTAATATCTATACATTTTCAGACTGGAATTTACTATTGACACTTATATTAATTGCAATTGTTTTATTCACAAATAGTCAACAGCTTTTATTTATTTAATTATTTTCTTTTGTGAACAGTTTGCCAAAAAAAAATTGATCCTGCATAAGCAAAACTTGACTAATAACCTCAACAAATAAACTAGCAATAGTTCTGCAAATTTATAATTAAAAAAAAAAAAAAAAAAAAGTATCGCATTAGTTGTCCTGGACATTACATGCCATATTATGATTATCTATGCGGCACACACCCTCCAATGCTCCAATAGCATAGAAAGAACTGTAGATTGGAAGAACCCATAGGAACAAACAACAGGGAGGTCAATAGTGCAGTTCCAAATAATAGGGAGGTCAAATTTATAAAAGCAATAGGAGTTAATGCATTTTACCCAAAACAAAATTATGTGCTTAACAAATGCAAGTACATATAAAGAAGTGGTACAAACTCTGGGAAGATGGGTGGGGAAGAAAGAAATAAGGAGATGAAATAAAGTCCAGAGTTTGTTTTACAAACCTTGGGTAGAGCATTGAGGACATTGTGTGGAATTTTTCTTTTCCTTAGCAAGGTAGACAGATGCTCTGAATTCTCAACACTGCATTAACAAACCAAATAAGATAGACTCCACATGATTCCTTGTGAATAGATAATGTAAGTGTCAAATGATGAAAGGAAACATAAAACTATAGCATTTAATGCATATTCAACTCAAGACCCTTAAGTGTTTTGACACTTGACATATATATAACATTATATTGCCCAAAAGTATATATTTATGCAAAAATTTTAAAAAATAAATTGAATACTCATAATAATAATTAAAAAACATGTGCACACAGACACATACACAAATTAAAGGGCAGTGTCAAGATGCCAAAATTTGTATATATTTTTACATCAACACTCTTTCAAGATGAACTCTTGACATACAATATTCCATGCATGTATGTGTGAAATTTTTTTACATATGTAAAGTGTCTGCTGCATGCCTACATAGTTCCTTTTGATTTTCAATGCATCAGAAGCTTCTGGGGAGTAAATACAATTTGTAGGTGTATCCACATGGAGGTATATTATATGTCCAAAGTTCTTCATCTCATCTTATTTGGACTTCACCATCTACTTGTATCATCCAAAACAAAGTATTTTTACTTTAAAAGAAGGGATACAAACTAGAGGTGATAAATTCTTTATGTAGGCCAAGCATCAATGCATCATTGTTTTTATGCATGCCATGCATTATCAAACTATGGAAGAATGATGTCTATGTAATATGTACATGAGGTTTGTAATATACTCATTCAAATTCTATAAAAGTTTTATTTGAAGATAACTATGATTGCTCATCCAGAAAAGAATTTCACACCAGAAACATCTATAGGGTAAACCAGAAATGTTAATCTTATAGTGCAAGACCTGTACTGGGAGCAAACCAAAACATTAATTAAACCAAGAAATGTATGTAAAAAAAAAAATACAAGCAATATAAGTACCTTGTGGTCCCGACTAAAACAGGACGACCCAGTCTAAACATGAACTCGATCTCTTCACAAGCATGTACCCATTTTCCTCGTTCGGTCTAAAGGCCAAAGAAAATGAGCATGATCAAATCAATTCAAAGATCAGCCTTCAGTTCTCATTAAGGGTGGAAGGCTTGGCTTAGTAAATAGTGAATGCCTTACAGCAAAAGCTTGAATGGGCAAGTCTTTTCGGATGTTTGGCAGATTTGCAGGAACTTCTATCACTGGCGTTTTGAACATTTTCAAAAACTCTTTCTCCTACAGTAAAGAAATTTAATCATGCTAAAGTACTCTCTGAACTAGAAACCTAGTGGTCCAAAATAAGTTCCAATATGAATCCTCGGAAATCATCATACCTCTGTTTTTGCAGTTCCAGTCATCCCTGAAAGCCTAGGGTATAGCTTAAATAGTGACTGGTATGTAATTTGTGCCACAACAACTGAATCAGCCTAACCAAAAGAAAACCCAAATTTTACAATTTCAGTTACTGTAATCATAAGAGGGATTTGGGGGAAATATTAAAAAATAAAGCTTCAGTGACCTTAATCTCTAGACCTTCTTTAGCCTCCACAGCCTGATGAATGCCATCAGACCATCGTCTTTTATCTTCCACTCTTCCAGTCAACTGTCAATAAGATAGAGAAATTATAAATTATGTGAGAAGGAAAATTTGTTGAATAGAAAAGGTGTTGCACGAACTTCAGAGCATATTTATTTTTTATATTTCAAAGTTAACGGAATTACCAAAAAAAAAAAAAAACAAAAAAAAAACAAAAAAAAAAACAAAAAACAAAAAACCAAAAAACCAAAAAAAATAAAATAAAATAAAAAATCAGATTTTTATACCTAAAAGAGGATAGTAATGAAGATTGCAATCATCTACATCAGGCAAGATGATTACAACTGGGAATCAAGTCTCAAATCTACCGACGATCATGATTAAAACATTTATTTTTTATGAGTCTTAAGAATATTACCAAAATACTAGTGCAGACAACGAACAATCAAGATTGACAGAGAAATCAGATCTAAATTGTACTCGAATTTATTTAAATGCCATCCCACCTAGCTAGGAACAATGGAAATCCCCACAACCACAAACTTCCTCTTTCAAAATGGCCATCAAAAGAAGTTATGGAAAGAAATCAAGGACAACAGAATCTCCTTCAAATACAAATATGTCCCTTTTAGTATCTTTAAGAATTAAGACAGTTCCCAACTAAAGTATACATAAATTGTTGCAACCCACATTATGATGCCAGAGTATAGCACTATTGCTATCAGTCACATTATGATACTCTTTACTGAGTATGCCAACATATGCAATGCAATATGAGAATAATTTTTTGTAAATTAGCTCTTAATGCTATTACTGAACTTAACAAATTTTCCTTATCTGGAGGCTTTTGAAAATCACATTCATCTGAATACTTGAGGAAAATCAACCCCAAACCCACCCACTTAATCTCTCTGTCTCTCGTTCTCTTCTTTCTGGTCCGTGAAACCTTATACTAAATTCAATTTGAAAGGATCCATTTTCATGTTATAGATAGCATCTAACTTTGTACTCCCTACTTGGCAAATTCAGATATTCAAAGAGGAAACCACTTTAAAAGAGAACTAGATGGAGAAAATTCAGTAAGAGAAAAATCAAGACCATATTCAAATCACTAAGAGAAACCTTCAAAACAATTCTAAAGTATATTTCCACCAGTATATTACCTCATTTATTATTAGAGCTTTCCCGTTTCTGACAATGTATTGGACATCCTGCTTATAAAACTCCTTGGCTTTTAAAGCATTAATTACAAATCTGCACTTAGTATATTATTAATTGAATAAGCTAAAGTTAATAATGCAAAATAGAATAGCATATTTGAAATTTTACAGAAACCAGGTATAAGGTGTTGTCTTTGAAGCATCACAACATCATCTCAGACAATCCTTATAAATATACAGAATAAGCTCAGAAATAGGGTTAAGATTTACCTTGCCCATGGATCATTCTCATCCCACAAGTCATTTGTTTCTAGAGCCATCTCAGCAAGAAAAATTCCTTCTTCAGTTAATTCCACAGATCTATCCTTAAACTCTATGTTGTAATGCTGTTAATGCAAGTAATTTTAAAAGTTCACTTTGTTATTCATATTTCCCTTCAGTGATAGAAAAAATTAGAGTTTCCACAGCTGAAATAGAAGAAAGAAATTTGAGACTCACAAGATCCCTCATGAGCAGCTCAGCTAGTCTAGCAGCAACAGGATATCGTGCAGCATCTTTACTTGCCTGAGATAAAGCAAGAGAATAATTTTGGAAAATTAGAAAAGGGGGGAAGAAATAAAGGCATGCAGGCAGTCTATATTAGAATATTGAAATCCTTCCTGATTCTAACCTTTCCCCACTTTAAGTCAGGGCAATTACCAGAAGTTTGAAAAAGATTCAAACTTACCTGACCACTAATTAGTAAAGGATTTCTTCCTTCATCAATGAGGACCGAGTCAACTTCATCAACTATTGCAAAATGGAAAGGTTTTGGCCTGTTTTCACAACTTTAACTTAAACTGTGAAATATAATATTCAGACATAAGGTGCTAAAAGGTCTCTGTAGCTTACCATCTCATAACAAGTTGTTCGCGACTAGTAGCAAGGTTATCTCGTAGATAGTCAAAACCAAGTTCCTGGGACATTAGAGAGGAAAGAGGGAATGTCAGAACTCACATGTTATAAGAATAAGAATATAACCATAATAATAATAAGTACAGGGATTTATCAAAGCAGCTATGAGAGGTTCAAAATTGCATGCCAAAAAAGAACATGACAACAAATATATGGAAGTTTAAAATCTGAAATTTAACAGGACTTACTGAATTGTTAGTATATGTTATATCACATCCATAATTCAATCTCCTCTCGTCAGCCGTCATCCGTGTCTATACATTAAGACAGACAATAAGCACAGAATACATAGTTGATTTTAGTTAAACTACTTGCAGATTGATGTTTGATATGGATTTTGCAGATTGATGTTCAATATGGATTCACTATCCTCAACAGGGGAATGAAAGCAAATACATGGGTTCTTACTATTAAGTATGTATTCATTATTCTATGGTTTTACAAGCACTTCACGCCTTCATATTGCTAAATCCCCAAGAAGCCGTAAAGCAATCTTTTCTTCCAAACAGTTTAATCAAGTTTAGTTTAGGTCAAATGCACAACTCTAGAACAGAAGATTACTTGGATAAGGCCAACAGAAAGCCCTAGGAAACGATGAACACGTCCCATCCATTCAGCATCACGTTGTGCTAGGTAGTCATTAACTGTGACAACTGTCAAAAATGCAGAAAAGAAAGTTAGTAAAGCCAAATAGACACCATTTATAACCCCCCCCCCCCCCCCCCCCCCCCCAGAGATACCAGAATTCTTCTTTGTTTTTAATTATGAATCAGGGTGGGGCAATGAACCCTACAATGATAAAAGCATCGAAGGACTAAACAAAGATAACTCCCTGATACCATTCAATTCCCCAGGAAAATCAAATGATGAACACTCGCCAAGGCATAATAACAAAAACATATGGAAGTAGTAAAATAGATAATGACCATGAACACCCTCTCCAGTCAAAGCATTGAGGTATGCTGCTAATGTGGACACTAAGGTCTTCCCTTCACCAGTTTTCATCTCTGCAATGGCTCCATCATGAAGCACAGCTCCACCAATTATCTGTATTTGGATTGAAGAAATAACAATCAAATAGATAAATTTGAACAAAATTTCAAGCATTGTAAAATTTAGAAATAACCACACAAAGGCTAAATGAAATCAATTTAAACATACTCAAGGAAGCATAGATAACATAATTAAGCATGTAGATTCAGTAGCAATTAACACAAATCACTATAAATATGTTTACACGGAGTGCATGTATTAGAACATAAATATTATCATATTTGTGGTGTACAATGTCTAAGCAAACCAAAAGAGGTAAATGGCATACCCCATTAGAGCACAATTCTTCCCGCCACTCACACTGGTTCAAATATTTCATTACCTAATCTTGATACCGCCATGAGCTAGCATTACCCCCTCCATCCTACCCACTCTCCAGTCCACTGTTACCGGTAGTGTTATTTCTCAAAGTTTCCATGTACTTTCTTGTCTCTATACTTGCAAATCCTCTCTTACTGTCTTCCATGAATGGATAGCTTACATATTATTTCATTCACCATGTGTTTTCAACAAGTAATCACCCCTATAGTTGATTACATTCATTGCAACACCAATTTTGGGTTAGTCTGAAACTATTTTAGAAAAATTTCAGCCAAAACCATGAATTAAAATTATTTTTTTTAAAAATCCTTGTAAAAAGTTCTGAATGATTTTTTTTTTCTTTTTCCTAGACATAGTTCACCTCCTAGCAAGCAAAGCTATATTCAAAAAGCAATATTGGACCATATTTAAATCAATTCAATACATTAACGAATGGCTTGTGCCATAAATGTAAATGGAACATATGCAAACTCATATTATGCATGTCCAATTATGCTCTAAAGAGAGACCTGAACATCAAAGTGGCGCATTCCCAACTTTCTTTTTGCAGCTTCACGAACAACAGCAAATGCCTCTAGCAGCATTACAAATAGAAGTAAAAATAAATAAATAAATCCAAAATTTAGTTCCAAAGAATCAATCTTAAACACCATTATTTTCAATAACAGTAAAAACTTACTGCTAAATTGAAAATTTAAAACATACCAGCTTGAATATGGGATATGGACTCTCCTTCTCTCAACCGTCTGCGAAACTCCAGTGTTTTTGCACTCAACTACACCAACATACAAACTTATAATACCACTAATAAATAGGACCCACATATACAAACACACAAACAAAAACACAAATGTTACTACCTGTTCATCTGAAAGCTTCTGAATTTGGGGTTCAAGAGCATTAACAGAATTGACGAGCCTCCCATATTCTCTCACGACCCAGTGGTTCAAACTGGTGATGTTACTCCAAGTTTTGTTCAACCCGTCAATTTTCTCCTATTAATAGAAAAGAAATCAGAATTCAATGTCAACAGTAAATAGAAAAAGGTTTGAAGAAAGTGGACCTTGAGGGAGGCAGCGCAAACAACGACGGGTGATGATGAGGGAGTGGAACGACGGCGTCTTAGGTGCCGGCAACGAGAGACGGCCGGGAAAGGGAGTAGAGGGAAATTGGTGGGTTTAGTGAAGAGAAGAGTTGCAGAATTTGAAGTGTGGTTGCAGCGGCGGTGGTGGCGTTGCGTAAACGCGGAGGAGGAGGTGGCGGCGGCGGATAGTGTGGCCATGGTTTGTGCCCACGGTGTAAAAATGTAAAATCATGTTTACATAAACTAAAGTACGTTACTTAGGCCACAAGATTTGACCAGCTTGACTTGAGTTGCCCTAAATGTTACACTGACATGTTAGGATATTAGCAATCATACCATTCTTTCATAAGTTACAAATGTAATACTCTCTTCGTCCTATTTTATAGGTATCTGATTTAATTAACGAATTAGTATTAATATACAAAATTTATATATTATTTAAAAAATAAAAATTACACTAAAAGTACCATTAAACTCAAAAAAATAAACAAATAAGAAAAAGTTAAATTGACCAATAAATAATAAGTACAACAGATTAAAATGAAAGTATTAATTATAAATAAAGTGTTTGCTACTTATAAAAAAAAAAGTATATTACTTTTAATACATATTATTTCTAATTAATATAAAGTATTACATTTCAACATAAAAATTATATTTCCATCTTAAATTAACCCGTTTTACAAACAAAGAACTGTGAGACTGAGATCTCACATAAGTTTTTATCTTTCTTTCATAAAAATTAGAAATCTTCACAATTAACGTACTCAAAACTCTGTTAATGAGACATTAAGGCAAGGTCCACCTATCATGGAATCAAACATCCTTGTTTCAATGCAAGAATGTTTTTTTATTTTTAACACAATCCTTCGTTTAAACGAAGGAAAGCATATACTGTACACAACGATCTGCTAGTGCTATTTACATTTCGCCATTACTCGAAACAAACCAGAACCAGGCCACCATTTTTCTCCTAGCTATCCCACTCCATTTAAACTCGAATTCTTTTACAAATACTAGTTCCTTTGCTCCTTAGACCGGTTCATTCTTGTATGGAAAATATGGCTGCCCTGCCGAATCGTGTATAATCTATTACTGGCTTATATACACCATTAGGACGCTCTTTCAAGAAATTATCGCTCTGAAAAATAGTACACCTGAAGAATGCATATATACAACGTACAGTCAGATTATCTGCAAAATAGTTCCATAAACCAAGTAAAATGTATAGTAGTTTAAGTAGCCTGGGATACGTCTAAAACGTGAAAAAGTTAATTGGATAGATAGATCAAACAATCATCGTACCTTGATTACTCTATCAGCTTGCCCAATGAACAGCTTTCCTTGCCAATATAGAAGAGCTGTTACCACGGAATCACAAGGAATCGATCCAAATGCAGTGGCATCTGTTTGTGCATCTTCCTCGAATAGTTCCTAGAAATCAGTGGCTTATGTTATATCTAGTAGTAAATTGCCATTCTTTTTTTACCAATGTAAAGTTGAAATGTCATATATCTAGTAGAGAATTTACCTGCACACTTACAGTCTTGTCCCAACCACCAGTGAAAATCCATCTACCCTTGTTGCAGGCAGAGAATACAGCTCCATTGTGGGCTTGTGTAGACTTCAGTAGCGTATCATTAAACCAGATCTGATGAATTAGATAGATTATATGTGAGAATTTAGCTAGAAAATTACAATGCATGAATTGAATGGTTCGGTTCCCTTTCTTGGTAACTATACTATAGATCAAAACCAGAACTGCATATTCCCGGAGGACCATAGCTTTTGAAAGAATACCTTAATAATGCCAGTCTCATGAGCTGCAACGAGTGTATGCTCATCAGCAGCAATAGACAAAACTGAAGTCAACTCTCCAGGCGTACTTTCGCCCAACACTGCCAACGGGCTGTGATCACTTAGGCACCATAATCGCACAGTTCCATCCCAACTTCCACTATAAAGAACCTCATTGCAAACTGCTAATGAAGAAACAACCGACTTATGGCCATTCATTGTGCATGATAACTCGTAATCCTGGAGGAGAGTGCAGGGAATTAGGAAAGAATATAGCAGTTTTTGTTTTTTTTGTTTTGAATCAGAATAAAAGGATAATAGTACAGTGCCTGCAGTGACCATGCTTTTATTGACTTGTCTCCACTACCCGTGTATATATACTTGCTCGCAGAGACCACAAGGGCATGAATACCACTATACCGCCAATCCTTTTGCTCGTATATTTTCTTAATTGGTTCTGGGCCCAGTGGAACACTGGCACCCCAAATGCATATGACACCCCCATTGTCACCACTAATGCATAGCGGTTTTTCATCATCCACAAAAGCTACAGCAGTAACTCTTTGTTCATGACCTTTAAACGCATGAACATGAGAATAATCCTGCAAGACAAGGAATGCATGAACATGAGAATATCATATAGAGTCTCTCAAGTAAACCAAACTTGCCACCATTGCATGCTTGAATTAAAATACAAAGACATCAATGCATTGTCCAAATGACAAAAGCATATATAGTAAGTGGGATTCATTCTCAGACATGTTTCCAAATTTTCAACACAAGCTGTCCTGTAAGAGGGATCATTATACACAAATTTATAAATAAAATAATTTGTCCACTCCCGTTAAAGTTATGGGCTGTGAAAGAAGATCCTAAACCAACCGTATGTACCCTTATATAAAATAAATTTATTCTGACAAAAGCTTTTACTTTTTAAGGGTATACCTGCAAAGACCACACATTCACCACTTTATCAAATGAAGAGCTGAAAAGAAAACCACCTGAAACAATAAAGAGAGAAGGTGTTTTCATACTGCATGCTAATAATTGAGAGGAATAAACAATAATTCTCTGCCTAAGATAAGAACCAAACAATCTGTAGTTTCACTGAGCATTTAGATTTTTAACAGAAAGAAAAAAGAAAAAAAAAAAAAAAAACACATATCCACAGTGAGAAATTACATTAAAGTTAATGAAGAGTAGCCAATTTAAATCTGATTGAATGAACTATTTATGATATAGACTTGCGCAGCACGAACAGTGTCTGTACCTCCAATAGCTAAGCCTGTTATACAGTCACGATGTTCTTTTAGATCAATACATTTGACTTGACCGTCAGGGATTCCCTCAACAACATCCTTGTCAATCTTTGAGATTTCAACTTCCTCAGCATCTTTTATTTGATTTTCACCCATTGATTTTTTGTTAGTCCTCCAGATTGATAGACAGAGGTCTCCAAACAGTAAGCAATGAGGCATACTCTCCTTCTTGCTTACCTGTTTTAAGTTGATTAAAACATCAAAATCAGGTTTCACAATCACCTCTCTCAAGCTTTTCCACAGTTCAAGAACAAGTGGGCGATTTTCAGGATTAAAATCCAAACATCTGCAGAGAATTTCCCTTAAAGAAATAAAGTTAGGTCCCAGTTTACATACAAACAAAGAAACAATCCTCTCCTTCCACACAGTGTACCACCCAACAAAATCACAACCTTTTTCATCACTTGCAAAAGTAACAAGATATCGTAAATAAATTTGCATCTCTTCAGTAAAAGGTTTTCCAATAAGAAGCGAAAGCAGCAAACAAGCTATAGACCAAACATCCAACCCAAATCCAACATCACACTCCGAACTGCCAAAACCTACTTGAACACCCTCAACTTTCAATAACTCAAACATTGCCTCAGGACTAACAAAAGAACATACTACCGTGTTTTCATTTTCCAAACTTGCAGAAAGGTTTTGATCACTCATTGCCTCCTTCCCTGCAATCATCTTCCCAACTCTCCTTCCGGCTATCAAAGTCTCACAAATATCAACATAAGCATGGCCAAATTCATCTAAACCAAAACAAGATGCTCCCAAACAACCAATGCTTAGTCCTTGCAAATGCAAATTATACACAGCCTCACAAATTCCTAGCCCAACCATTGCCCAACTTGTCATACATCTAACCCTCTCCTCCTCATTTTCACCAGCAATCAAATCAGTTAACATTATTACGCTCCCCTGAAATCTCTGACAAACTAAATACACACAATTGTCATCTACATTATACCAAAAGCCATAAACTTTACACGCTCCACGGTGTTCTGAGCCTGCATTCAAAATCAAGTCTAATTCATTTCTTACCCCCTCTGCCATCCCATATAATACTCTCAACACTTTCACTTCATAACTATACTTAAACTTAGAACAGCTCTCGTTTTTGTCAATAAAGATCCCAACTTTAACCAGACATACTTCCTCTTTCTCTACGGAACATCTATTGCTCCTACTATCATGATTTCTCAAACACCCATACAACAAATAACAGAAATCATCGGGACTTTTAGTACCAGAATTTCGTGGTTCAGTGGATAAGCTGTTCTCTGGGAGAAGCCATGGCTTCCAATACAAGTAGAATTCACGAGACCACAAAACGGGTAGGAAAACTGCGGAGTCCTTTTCGGGTTCCCGCAGCGAATTTGCGGTATTGGGTGGTGGAGAGTTGTGGTTGTGGAGGAGGGAGGAGAGGCGGAGGAGGTCGATGTTCTTGGGGAGAGAGGAGAGGGGTTTGGGTAGCTTCACAAGCTGAGTACAGGCGGGGCAGCGGATGGTGTGAGGGAAGGCGTTTGGGAGCTGGGCGAGACAGGGCTCGCAGGCAGAGTGGCCACAGGCGAGTACACGCGGGATCGTTGCAACGGAGTCGTACACTTGCAGACAGACCGGGCACTCCGGTGGTTCCGGATGCTCCATTGCCGGTGAATCAAACTATCATCATACTTTGACTCTGCCCCTCGATACTCCAATTTTGTCTCATTTCTCGAAACTTGAGTACAAGTAAAACTTTAATTTGGGGGACAAATTTAAATTTCATGAAACAAATGCGGCTTAATTTACCATTTCCAAACTTCTCAATTAGACCAACATGTAATTTACTATTACACCAATATATATATATATATATATATAATACCCTTACATAATGAATCATATCGTAAATTAGATTACAAAAAACTTTAAGTGCTTATATATATGTAAATTTATTTGAAAAACAATGTACAATGATGAGAAAGACAAATTTTTTTATCTTCATAAGAGACTTTTAACTTAACATACAAAAAATGATAAGTGCGTAATTAAATAAATTTAATAAATTTACAATCAATGACCTGGAAAAAGAATTTTACCACCTATGTGAAATTTACTTTTCTTAATATCATAGAAGAGTTAATTCCCAAAATGGTCATTCTGGCTATAATCTTTTTCTTAAATTGGTTCTAACTACTACAAACACCATTATTTTAAAATAGACCATTAAATTTTCGGTATTGCCCATTCTGCCATTCAAATCATGACATAAAAGTCACACTCAAAAAATATATACATACAAAACTGAAAATGTTCTTTAATTAATGAGAAAGTCTTCACTTATTATTCAAAAATGTTTTATGGGTGAAATTTATATTGTGATATTAGATGACAAATGTGTAAATAATCATAGAGAGATGTATTCTGCAGTGTCCTATGTTATGTACTATGTGTTGTGAAGATAAACAAAACTTGCTAGAAACAAGCTGCTGTCTGTCTGCCTCCGTATATATAAAAGGGATCCGAGCTTTATACACCATTTGCATACTCAATCATGCACTATATATTTCTTTATTAATTGATCCAAGCTAAGAGAGATTTACTATCTTATTTTGTGTGATTGAGTAAATTATTTTTTAATTTAATTTTTATTTAATAATATAGCTTGTAAACGCATTAAACTGCTAATGAGTTTTCAAATAAATAATTCCTCAAAATGATTTATCATGAATGTGGTTGCATAAACAAATTTTCAAAATTTATCATATTAAAATGAGTACGATTTTTTTAAGTACAATTACAATTTCACATTTGTTATTGATATAATCTTATTTAAATATATATATCCTTATAAAATGGCTATTATAATACTCATTATAAATGTTTGTTATCTTTCAAAAACAAAATTACTACTATACAACAACATATAAAATATATTTTAAAGTATTTTTTTAAAAAAACTCTAAAACTCTAGAAGACATACCGCCTAAGTAACTCTAGTTTTATACAAAAATTTATACTAGTTGTTATAATTTGTGATTGCCTATACTGAACAATAATATCATCATGGATTAATTAATTAAATAAAATCATATCAATAATCATTGTATACTGATATTTAAAGTCACATTATTCTTTCCAACTACTATGTAATATAATGACATAGCATCCTACATCTAAGTTTAATCACATTAACGAGTAATGTAATATTAGTCGTAGTTGTCCCAAAATCTGTGGAGGCAGGCCGTGTTGCAGCAAATACAAGTCAGCCCTGCTACTTTTCCGCTGCTAGTAGTTAGCTGCACGCATCATATGAGCACATCAGTGTTAATCATTGTTAATAAAACTTGGTAGTAGATTATTATTATTATAACAATACATTACTGGTAAGATATTTTCTTGATCATAAAAAACATAAGCAAAACTCAAACAATATAATATAATAGCCCATTTGGCTAGACAATATTAATTAAAACTACAATATAATGCAACTAGAGAACAGCTAGCGAGCACATATAAGCAGAATATATAGCTAAGATCAATTAAGATTCCACAAAATTAAAGTTGATTAGTTATAACCAGAATGGAACAAACAAGTAACGGAATAGCAGCAAATTAATTAAAATTTGACCACTGCACTCAAAGCATGCATCGAGTAAATCAGGTTACAAAAATAAATACTCCGTACAATAAAGAATTTAGTCTCTCCATGATCACATTTAGGACAGCGGATAAGTTTTGTACGATGGAGTTTTGGATCTACAGTTGCAACATAATTTTGAATCACATTTCTGTAGATGCAGTTGTTATCAGCAACCTCATGTATAGTAGGACTCATTTTTTCAAGTCGTTTGGTTCTCACTCTTCGATCTTCCCCTGAAAACCCTAGCTAGCTTCGCTGCTAAGCTAATTAAGACGCGAGATTACTAATGGCTTTTATATTGGAGCTGAGGATGAATTATATGGGTGAAGGAAGACTGAAGCGAGTGGGTCACTAATGACTTTTATATTGGAGGTTGAATTATATTGGTAAAGGGAGACTGGAGTAAGCGAAACTCTAATGGCTTTTATATACTATGAAGATGAAGATTAGGAAGCCGGTAAGTTTTTGTTTTCTTTTTTAGCCCAAACCTTTTTAAAAAGCTTATTTAATATGACTCAATTTTTTTAAAAGCCAATTTAATATATAAACTTAAAAAGACTTCAAAATAAGTTCTAAATCAGATTTATCCTACATGTTATATATAGTTTTAAGGTTTACATATTTATAAATTTTTAAAAATATAACTAATACAAAAATATATCACCATAAATAAATCCATTAGTATCATTACAATCAATCAATGAACACGGAATTATAAGTTCATAATACAAAATTCAACATTGCATTTTTAATAAACATAAGTTCATAATGCAAAATCCAACAACACATTTTAATAATCACAAAACCATAAGTACATACATAAAACAAAAATCCAACACAAGTTTAATAACCACATAACCACAAGTTCAAAGATGTGAGATGTGTGACAATTACAATTGAATGTGATTGATGATGCTGAACAAGTAATACTGAATTGGATACCCCTAGCTATATGGGTATATGGTTGCACCCATACCCACTTTAACAGCCTGATGGCTTGAATACTATATATATTGATTATTCCTTTTGATTAACACATACCATAAGAGTTCTTTCATGTGTCTAAACTCTTGGTTTATTTCTCAATACATAAAAGGGTATCACTAGTGCCACTGGGTTTTGGCTTTGGATACATGCATCATCCTTTTCTGAGTGCCATTACTTTTAGACTATGCATTTTATTGCCCTGACAGAAATACTCATAACTTCTTGATATAGTTTAATTTTCTATCATGTTTTTATCTTTTATTATTGATACATGTTTTGGGCCAACCTATTGCCAGTACAATTGTTATATTGCATCAGGGCGCATAATGTATTGTGCCTCTTAAAAATCTTCTGTTCCGTATGTATGTAGGGGCGGATTTAGCATGGAGGCAGCTAGTAGCCTCCTTGGTCTCGAAAGACAAGCATTCCAAATCGCTCCATTTCGTGCTCTCCAAATATAATATAGAATTGCCGCTGCGTAAATAATCGTGAGTCATTTATTAAAAGCACCATCATTATCAACATAATTTCCAACGATGAGAATAATACCCTTTAAAGTGACTCCGGCTTGTTTTAACATCTCCAGTGACCGGAGTGATTAACTTTGGTAGTAAAACAATAGTTGTGGGATGAGTTTTGGTAGGAATTAAACAAGTGGATTAAAATTGTCATTTTGTTAATACTCGTGGGATGAAAATTGGTATTTGCTACCTATGCGTATGCGTGATCCTTCACATACTAAGAATAATCCTAAGGGTTTCATACTTCTTCCACCTAGGTCAACGGGATACCAATTCAACTAGCTCACCGGAGAAGGCAATGATTTTTTTTTTATAAAAAATTAATGAATTAAATTTTAAATTAATTAATTATTACTTAAATGTAATAAATGCAGTTTTACTAGGATTTGCAAAGGGTGTTGCTATTTGCACCCCTCTTTGACTAAAATGAGGTATAAAGCACATTGAAAATGTAAAAATGTAATAAATTATAATAAATATATGGGTGGTGCAAATAGCCTAATGGGTTGTCAAAATGCTATTTGCACCACCCTATTAAATCTACATTTATGAGGTCAAAATTTAATTATTAAAAAAAAAAAAAAAAAACCAAAGCGCCATCGCCTTCTCCGGTGAGAAGGCGACGGACTGCCTTCTCCGGTGAGAAGGCAGCCCAGTGGGTCGCCTTCTCGCCGGAGAAGGCAGCCCACTGTGTGGGTTGCCTTCTCCGGCGAGAAGGCAGCCCACTGTGTAGGTTGCCTTCTCGCCGGAGAAGACAATCCATTTGCCTTCTCGCCGGAGAAGACAACCCATTTGCCTTCTCGCCGGAGAAGACAACCCATTTGCCTTCTCCGGTGAGAAGGCAGTCCATCGCCTTCTCACCGGAGAAAGTGACGGATCTCTCTTTTTTTTTTTTTTTTAAAAAAAAATAATCCATTGGGTTGCCTTCTCCGGTGAGAAGGCAACCCACTGGGCTGCCTTCTCACCGGAGAAGGTGACGGGGTGAAGGTTTTTTTTTTTTTTTTTTTTTTTTTAAATTAAAAAAAAAAAGAAAAATAAATAATAATTTTTGACCATATTTAATGCAGGCATTTACATCACCTATAAAGCTATTTGACCTACTAAGTAGGTGGTGCAAATGGTAAAATAGGTGGTGTAAATAGAATAACCCTTTGCAAATAGCATTTTGATTACTCATTAGGCTATTTGCACCACCTATGTATTTATTATAAATTATCATCTTTTTATATTTTCAATATACTTTATACCCATTTTAGTTAAAGCGCGGTGCAAATAACAATACCCATCTTCATACTGCATACTAATCATGGAGAAGAATAAACAATAATAATACTCCATAAGCGCCATAAGTGCCAAACAATGCATAGTTTTTAACAGAAAAAAAAAAATCACATATCCACAATGGAGAAGAATAAACAATAATAATACTCCATAAGCGCCATAAGTGCCAAACAATGCGTAGTTTTTAACAGAAAAAAAAAATCACATATCCACAATGAGAAAGTACATTAAAGTTAATGGAGAGTAGTCAATTTAAATCTGATTAAATGATCTAGAAAATGGTCAAATAGGTCCCTAAACTTTACCTTAAAGGTCAATTAGGTTTCTTAACATTAAAAAATATCAATTAAACACTCAAACATGTTAAATTGGGTCAATTAAGCCCAAAAATCAATAAATGACCTGTTATTACAAGTCATTTTAATTCCGGTCACCGGTGACCATTTCCGACGGCCGGCAACAATTAAACGTATGTTAGTTATCTTTCAAAAACAAAATTACTACTATACAACAACATATAAAATATATTTTAAAAACTCTAGAACACATACCGCCTAAGTAGAACTCTAGTTTTATACTAGTTGTTATAATTTGTGATTGCCTATTTGTATATTGAACAATAATTTCATCATGAATTAATTAAATAAAATCATGTCAAGAATAATTGTAGCCACATTGTTCCTTCCAACTACTATATAAGTTTAATCACATCAACAAATAATATAATGTGTTTAATCACATTAACAAATAATATAATTTTAGTTTTCGTAGTCGTCGATCCAGGTGTCGTCATCCCAGAATCTGTGGAGGCAGTCCGAATTGCAGCAAATATAAGAACGCCCTGCTGGTTTTCCGCTGCGAGTCGTTAGCTGCATATATGCATCCAATTAAGAAACACATCATAACAATACTTTACTGCTAATTAAGTTTATTAGATCTAATGCAATAGACCAAGATATGATATTTTCTTGATCACCCGTAAGCAAAACTTACTAACAATATAATATAATAGCCCATTTGGCTAGGCAGTATTACTTAGAACAACAATATAATGCAATGCAGTGAAACTAAAGAACAGACACTGCACTCAAAAGCATGCATTGAGTAAATTGGGTTACGAAAATAAGTACCAAAAAGAATTTAGTGTCTTTTTGACCACATTTAGGACACTTCTGCCTTCTTGAACGATATAATGTTGGTTCTGCACTTACGACATAATGTTGAATCACATTTCTGTTATCAACAACCTCCTCCTCCTGACAATATTACAATGAAACTAGAGTTAGCAACATAACGAGCTAGTAAGATCAAAGCAATCAGTATAAATAAGATCGACTAAATTAAAGTCAGCGAAGACATTATATTGAAGGGTACCTGGGGGACTATATTAGAGTCAGGGATCAACATGAAGCATATCGTGTCATTGCACGTGCGACATACATAGATGAGGATCTTCGTACCTCCTTTCTCTTCCGCTATGTCCAGTTCGTTTTTGCTGCACAAGAGATAGACTCAAGTGAAAACACTCATGCTAGCTTACAGAAGAAAAAGATAATTCAAAAAACTAACCAGTGAGGGCAAAACTTAATAGTACTCATTTTTGCAAAGTCTTTGTTCAAATGGCGTTTGGTTCTCGGTCTTTCTTCCCCTGAAAACCCTAGACGCAGCGAAGCTAGCTAGGGAACTTAATAGTAATCACTAATGACTTTTATAATGGAGCTTTAATTTGGATGAATTATATTGGTGAAGGAAGACTAGAGCGAGCGGGTCACTAATGACTTTTATATTGGAAGTTGAGTTATATTGGTGAAGGAAGACTGGAGCAAGCGTGACTCTAATGACTTTTATATACCATGGTTTTTTTTTAATACAATATAGTACTCCGTATATAATATGGTTAGGAAGCCTGTAAGTTTTTTTTTTTTTTTTAGTCCACAACTTTTTTAAAAGCTTATTTAATATGGCTTTTTTTTTTTTTTAAGTCATCAATTTTAATATATATAAACTTAAAAAGGCTTCAAAATAAGTTTTAAATAAGATTTAGGGTACATGTTATAGTTTTAAGGTTTACATATCTATAAATTTTCTTGTAATAAAAACAAATTTTTAAATTTTTTAAATATAACTAATGCAATATAGTTAATTCCATTTTTTGCCCTACATTTATAGGTGACAGTCCACTTTTAGTCATTCTTATTAGATATCCATTTTTTATCTTAGTATTATTGTGAAATGACCAATTTTGGTCCTTTATCAAAAAAAAAAAAAATTGTTGAAATTTCGTTAAATACAAGGACATTTCGCTCTTTAATTATGAATTTTTTTTAAAAAAAAAACAAACATAAAAAATATAGCGAGTCAACACACTTTTTATTAATGAGTATTTTATTAAGTAAAACTCTAGTTTTATACTAAAATTTATACTAGTTGTTATAATTTGTGATTGCCTATTTGTATATTTAATAATAATTTCATCATGGATTAATTAAATAAAATCATGTCAATAATAATTGTATACTTTGATATTTATGGTCACATTATTCCTTCCAACTACTATGTAATATAATGACAGTTGCATATTATCCACAACAGTTGCCTCATACTTTACTCACTAATACAATCCGTGTTATTTTAACAAAAAAATATAAATGTTTCCGTGTGATTTTAACCAAAAAAAAAAAAAACATAAATGTAAAACAATTGAGTTGGCGACCACTATGAAGCCAAAATGCCCGCACGGCATAGTGTGTTACACATGCTTGTTTTTTTTTTTTTAGTAAAACGCTCCACCCAAACCGTCAAAAGCCTCTATCCAGTTTTTGCTATATATATATATATATGTGTGTGTGTGTGTGTGTGTGTGTGTGTGTGTGTGTGTCAGGTATAAATAGGTCTGATCCTATTTAAATAAATAATCTTTAAAATTTTTTTAAATCTAGCGTTTTTACTAAACATGCTAGGTCATGTTAAGACATAGGCTTTATGAAGAGACTTAGCCTATTTTCATCCCTATTTATGATGCAGCCTAGAGCATTGCAAGTGGTGTCATTTGTGATTATTATGGTGCTACATAAAGAAGTGTGTGTATATATATATGTTTATGTTTACCCAAGAAGGAGAGAAAAAGATGTAAGCAAATGATAATATTTGGAAGAATTTACAGAAAGATAGATTCCAAAGCTCTTGTCCAGTGTACTGTTTGTATTTCCATGAAACAAGTAGCATTTTTACTAAAGTACAAAAGGCCAGTATTGCTTCTTCTTCTCCTGCTTCTTTCACCCTCTTATTATTTTATTTTTCTTTCACTCTGCAGATTTGCTTTTCCTGAAGTTGAAGCCAGACCAACAACTGGTTAAAAAGCCTTTCCTCCTGCAATTGGTTAAGAAGTCTTTGTCTTAGCAATTTCCAGTTTTGACTTTATATGAGAGACTGTTTGGTAGAGTTAATATAGAGAATTGAAATATATATGCTAAATTATGTTGTTATCATTGGGAATTTTCTTGAATTATACATGCTACAAATTTGTGAAAACACCTTGTTGAAACAGAGAGTGTGCACTGGGTAAATCCTACCTAAATTGTTTGTTCATAGCTGACGACTCAAATAAAAAAAAAAAGCCAATAAATTTGTGTAAGTTTGTAGTTACTGAGTAAATGGCCTGACAAACTCGATTCCCCTAGTTTTCTTTCATTTGGGAAATGGTGAAAGGGATCAAATCTTGTAACTATGATCAGAATATTACCTTAAAATCTTCGTTAATTACAGCAGAATCCCATATTAATATTTCAGAATTCAAATGTTGTAAGATATATAGCAGAAGTTGTAAAATTGAAAGAAGGTATACCTGTGGGGTGTGGTGGTGCTATTGCTGCTACTTGTGGTGCTGCCATCACTGCTGCCACTGATATTGCTGCTATCACTCTCTCTGGAACCCCATGATCTCTTCTTCTTCCACCACTCTTTATCCACACTACTCTTGCTGGATTTCTCAGATCCCTCTACTGCTGGCTTAGGAGAAACCTTTGCCAATGTCTTACTCCCTGAAGATGAAGATGGGTTCTTTTTCTTGTTTGATCCCCCCAGACCCAGTGAGATCGGAAACACCAACTTCAGAAACATCCCTCTGTTCTCCATGCTCCCACTTCTTCCCATCTTCCCTGTACTCTTCTTGATACTCTCTTGCCTCTTCACTCTCTCTGCACCACCACCATAGTCTTTCATCAAGCATTCTTCTTGGGTTTCTACTACTACTCTAGCAGGCTGTTCCACAAGATCCTTCAAGGATAACTCGTAGCAAGACTCCGGCATGTTCTTCACCATCTCCATCAGCTCCCACTGCCCTCTAGCAATGGCCTCAGCTCTGCTATGGTGGTGGCGAAGGCGGGCAGGACTGTTCTGCCGCCACAAGGGAGGTGAAGAAACACCAGACTGGTGGTCATCATCAGGCCTGAATTGGATCCCTCTGTAGTGGTGGTGTTCATGGTTCTTTGATGGGTGATTGGCGTTGGTGACAAAATTCAGGGGCTCCCACCCATCAAAGCTGTAATCATGGTCTCTGCTGGTGACTGGATCAAGAATATGGACATGATCGTTTGGGGGAGAAAGCATGGTTTTTGGGAGGAGATTGGGGAAATGGTTGGGTTGTGTTGTGTTGTGTTGGTGTGAGAAGATGAGAGGAGGAAGAGAAACAAGGTTTGATGATAGTGTGATAGAAGTCTTGGAAGGGGTGGTAGGGTCCATGCTCTCTTTCCTTATAATAACAACAAAGTTTTCTTGTTGGTGTGGCTCATCAATTAGGCATTTCAAAAAGTCAAGGCTTTCTAGATGGGTGGGCGCAAGTCCAATTGCGTTCCAGATTTTCTGTTCCTAGATTCATATTACATTAATCACACGGTTAACCACACATTTTCTTGGTCAATAAGTCAATTCTCTTTTATGTCGGGGAACATCGTAGTTACTACTCAGGAAAACTCACAATCACTATTCAAGATAGTCGAATTGTATTAAAAGACAATAAGTCAATTTAGTATTAAAGACATAATTTTATTTTTAGTGACACAATTATTTTTTTTCATTTTTAAAATTTAGATGAACTCAATTTCACCGGACTAATTTAAACCCACAAATTCTTGACCCTAGAGCCACTACGGAAATAAATCATGAATCGCACAATCAATTCACTGGTGATATCTTAATTTTCATGTGCATACAAAAAATTCAATCTAAATATTTTATCTTTAAACTTTTTTCTCATATAGGCGACAAACCAACTAGGATAAGTCTCGAGAACTTATTTTATAATTATTCAATCAAAGAGAAGCAGAAGCCTAGATGCTATCCTTAACCGCCTTTCTCCATAACTCCACTCTGGATTAGAGAAAAGCTAGATTATAATATTTTTATACAATTTTTAACTTTATTCAAGAAATTATTTTTAAAGTATAAAAATATTTATCTTTAAAAATTTCCCCGCGTTGATGTAAACACTCAGCGTAATTGACCTTCCCTTCTCCCAAATTCATGGTTTTTGTTTGTGTTGGGTGTTATTTTTGGTTTGTGGTCTTAATTCAATGGTCATACATCATACTTGATTACCCTATCAAAATGTATTATTTACGTATTAAATATTCCATTCTTAATTTAGTTGGGAGTGATGGATCCCCCAACTCCACCCCACCTCAATTAAAAACAAATAAAATTTAAAAAGTCTGATGGGGCCTATTTATTTATTTTTCAATAATTATTGTGACTCGATTTAATTTTAATTGTGATTTACTTTTAAAAATCTATAAAATTGATTATTTTGAATTTTTTTTTTAAATATCTATAAAATTGATTATATTGCAACTCTTTTCCTCAGGAAATAATTCACATGAAAAATTCTATGATATCTCGCTAAGGTTATATATTATGGTTCGTTTTGTAAAAAAAAAAAAAAAATTTATTTTTCTCGTGTCATAATTTGTTATAACAGATGTATTGACAAGGTATAATAGTGATATTTATTAACTGATTAATTGTTATATATATATATATATATATATATATATATATATATATATATATATATATATATATATATATATATATAAGCTAAGTTGGATTGCACATGTCCTCCGTCTCAATTAAAAGCTAAGTTGGATTGCACATTAATGGCTATATGCTCACACGCCCCCTCACGTGTGTGGTGGGTTCCAAGCAACACGTGGACCGATAAACCGTAGTCGCTTATGAGTGGTGCTGAGATTCGAACCCATGACCTTTGGTCTGGTTTGGTACCAAATTGAAGCATGTCCTCCATCTCAACTAAAAGCTTAAGCTAATAGTTGGATTGCACATTAATGGCTATATGCTCACAATGTTGTTACCTTTTTTTTTTTTTTTTTTTAAATGCTACTGACTCTATTACATTGTTACCTATTTTATGTGCATGGAATTTAATATTTCAATTATTATAAGACTAATTTGAAGCTAGTTTAGGTCATATTTGTATAATAATTTAGCTCATATATATTAGAAGAAGAGTTAATATCCAAAATGGTCAATCGATTATATCGAAATTCACAAATTGATTCTCAACAATAAAGTTTAGCAAATTAAGTCCTCAACTATTCAATCCTTACTCAATAAGGCCCTCAACTATTAAATTCTTACGCAATAAAGTCCTCAACTATTCAATTATTACTTAATAAGGTCATCAACAAATGATTGATTTGTGAATTATTGAATAATAATTGAATAGTTGAGGATTTAATTGGTAAAATTGATAGTTACGTTGATGACTAATTAATAAATTATGACATAGTCGAGATACCATTTTGGTTATTTACTCTTAAAAGAATGTTTAATCCAAAATTATTTAAAAGCAAACTCATCGGAGGGATTCTCTTATATATTTTTTTTTCCAACTTTAGGCAAAAAGCTTAGGCGAGTAGAAAGGGAACGAGAGCAAAAAAAAAAAAAAAAAAAAAAAAAAACTCAAGTTATCATGCAATTCAAATTTTTCATGATTTTTTTTTTATATAGATACATAGGTTTCTCAAATTACATCATACTAATTCTGGTATGCATTATTCCAACCCTAATGTTTTAGAAAGTGGTAAATCACAAGTCACACGAGTAACTTATCAGTTAATCCTCGCCTTACTGTCCGCACGCAAAATCCAACTTACACCCTACTTGAACTCGAGGAGCCCAACTTCTATGATATTTGAGGTGGACTCCAACCCCACACGTCGCATATGGCACACGAAGCATGCCCAATGGATGTATAACCTTTTGATGCGCAATTGCTTGTTTTTTTACTCTTTTTTTTTTTTTTTTTTTGGGGGGGGGAGGGGGGGGGTCTTTCCTGTCCACCAGGGCCGGATTTTAGGCTGTGCAAGCTGGGCTACCGCACAGGACCTCCAATTTTAGAGGGCCCCCAATTTTAGAGGTCCAATATTTAATTTTTACCTAACTAGTTTAGAAATAAAAATTAAAAGTTTTCAATTAAATTTAAAAGGTTCCATGAAGAGATGGTAAAAATGTATATTTATTGTATTTTAACTTGGAGGTTAAAGGTTCGAAACTTGCATGTATTGATTTTAAAAATTGTGATTTTAATATGGCCACATTTATTTACTAGAACAGAGCCACCAAAACTTAAAATACGGCCCTGCTGTCCACATATTTTTCTTAGCCTAACAAAAATCTCATATTTGAATTTAAAATTGAGCTTCCTCTAACATGACACATAATTGTACTAGAAGTTTGTTTACAACTACTCCAAACTGGTAAATTACTTCATTTTTTACTATCTACTAATTGAAAATATTAGAACTAATCACGGAAAAAAACGTGAATCATAATTATTTTACTTTATTTTTCTTTCTCTATTAAAATTAAGATGTATAATTTACAAAATAATAATAATAATAATAATAATAATAATAATAATAATAATAATAATAATAATAATAAAAGTACACTTATCATTTGCATTATAATGAATAATTCCTATCCATGGGTTAAAGAAGATAATTACTCCATATGATTTTGCACCTTCGCGCGAGCAAAAGTGAAAATAATTGAATCCCAAAAAAATAAATAAAATAAAATAAAATAAAATAAAAAAAAAGTGAAAATAGTTGAAATATAGGGCTTAGCTTTTTTTTTTTTTTTTTTTTTTTTTTTTTGGAAACCAAACGTGGACCCACCCCAAGCATTCACAATCAATAATGACTTTAATTTGACACCTCCACGGCTCCACATTTCACGCCTTACATATATCATTTACGAAATTACGTGTAATCTCAATTTTATTTTTATTTTTGAAAGGATTTTATATTTCTTATTAACACGATGTATTTTGATTAATGCCCACCACTAGTTGCTTTGGTTTAGACTTATTTTAATTTATAAGAAATTTGAAATATGCATTGTAGATTTGTTATTTAACTTTTTTTACATTTAAATTATTAGTGAAAATAAAGGAATAGTTATATATGCAAGAGAATTAGGGAATGTTTGAGTCTTCAAATCGAACTGAATTAAATCTGAGCCGAATCAAACTATTTCATACTAAACCGAAACTAAACTGACTTAAAATTTGAAGCCAAATGGTTTAAGGTTTTTTTTTTTTTTTTTTTTTTTAATTGAAACCAAACTGAACCCGAAATAAATCGAATCGAAAACTAAAATGCTCACCCCTAGTACATATAATGAAAATTGTACTCTTAATAATAAATTTATTTTTTTTCATTCTCAATCATGATTTTGGTTTGGATTAAAGTCTTATCTAAGTTAGTGTATCACTTTTTTTGTTTTTTTAAAATAAATCACACAAAAGTTATAAATTGCTATAATTTGGGCAATGAACTTGACTGAAAAAAGATTAACAAGAATTAAATCATTGATCTTCTAATATGAGAATAATGTTTTACCTATTCAGACACCTTTTGAAACAGGGTGCCATCTTTTAACCCATAAATTGGTGTGCTCGACTATGACTAGGCAAATTGATGAACTCAATTTTTTAAAGGAATAAGGGTCAAATAGGCCATCGAACTGCACACAATAATGCAATTAGGCCACTGAACCTAAAAAAACAACAATTAGATCCCTAAACTAACTATTTTCATGCAATTAAACCAATTTACAGGTTTTGCAAGTTAGTAACAGGTCACCCAAATTTGAAAATATATTTTTTAATTATTATTTAAAAAGAATAATTTAAAATTAAAAATTATAAAAAATAAAAATTAAAAATTAACCGTCTCCGGCCATGGAGACGAAGAAAGTTTCTTCGTCTCCATTCTTCTCCGGCAGAGCGAAGAAACGTTTTTTTTTTTTTTAATTTTAATTTATTATTTTTAAATAATAATTTTTTTAAAAATATTTTAAATATTGGGGTGACCTGTTACTAACCTACAAAACCTGTAAATTAGACTAATTGAATGAAATTTGTTAGTTTAGTGGCCTAATTGTTATATTTTAAGGTTCAGTGGCCTAATTGCATTATTGTGTGCAGTTCAATGGCCTATTTAATCCTTATTCCTTTTTTTAAAAATGAAAATTATGTCAACAATATTTCAATTGACTATTGGTATAATAAATACAAAATCATACTTTTTTTTAATCTAAAATATAATGTTGCGTTCACAACATGTATCGATTCGTTTGTCAAAATTTTAAGTTCTAGACTACAAAAATAAAATAGGGTATTAGTTGGAATATAATATACTACCATGCATAACATGTGCATGCAATGATGT